CGGTTTGATCGAGCCTGTTCATTGACAGAACTGGAAAATGCAAGTTACCGTCCATATACCCCCCTAGCACCGGCTTTAGCAGACTTCAACATTTAAACACGAAAATGGTGTAATTTTGAATTCAGAAACATCTGCAGATGTGTTCATACGGCGGTCACCATGGAATATTCAATGTGACACGTTAGTGCCATTCCATGAAAAGCGGCGTATATCATGACGTGACAAATACGTCATCATAAACCGTTGTTAATGGAATAATGTAAGACGACCACGCTCTGAAGTTTAATATACGTCATCAAACAGAGAAAGAATTTATTAAAACTCCCACAAAATTATGACTATATGTGTGGCTCTTTGCGTAGTTGATTAATAATAAATTAATTTTTTTAGCTGAAGGTGCACGAAATCCTTCAATTGTTTTATTATAGTCAGCCTTATATTGATTTCATCTTCCGAAAATATCGCTTGGTAAAAATAATTTACGTGCAAATGGAATTGAACTATCGCACTGATTTGATCAACATAAACGTTAGGCGTTTAAACCGATGAAATTCTCCTGGTACATGATGTAATATGTCATGATAGAATATTATGAATATTGAAATGACAAAAACAATTAATGTAATGGGGACATTTGATAAATCTGCAAAGGAGAATACTATGGAAATGAACTACTTGTTTACAGATTTAGAACTGATTGATTGATAATGAAATGCTCTATTCTATTTACTATTTACTACTACAAGTGTACTATATGTACTTTTATAGAATTGATGTCGATAAGGGTAGGAATATTTACAAATCTTTGATTTTTGTTTTTGTGCACGCAGTTAATAATTTTGTGAACTTTCCGTCTGAAAAACGTGAAAAAAACACAAACAAAATAACAAACTTTTAGCTGTATAAACCAAGAGTGTATATTTACATCTTAAAAAAACTTCCTGTCCAATTCTTACTGGCTGTAAATAAAACGTATTGAATTTCATATTATGCAATGTTTATTAATGTAATGATTGAACTAATGAAAACAAACAGAAATATTGCATATTCATTTTTTGTAGATACTTAATGAATTCTGAATTATTAAGAAAATTAGTATAAAATTCGGATACTGATGTAGAAAGCAAACATTTTGAAAAAAATGAATAACTATGCTTATTATGGCAAAATAACAATTACTACAGTGGCTGACTTTTGAAATTCTGATACCTACTGATAAATATACAATGTAAACCAGTGATTGAACTCCGTTTACAGTTTCGCAGTCTCAAAGGCAGGTGTTGTACATGTGTGAGAGGCGAAATATCGTGATTTAAGGTGTCAATGTCCAGAAAAAGAGACATTTTTAAATGACCAAGCGTTCAGTTTACTTGTATCTCAACTATATAATAGTTTTCCCCTTTTTTCATCTTTTTGTCATTAAAAAAAGTTTGTTTTTTTTTTTTTCATTTTGAACGGCCTTAAATGGAAAAAAAATTTTTGCTTTTTTAAATAAAAAAGTACTTATTGAAAAGTTTTTTCTCCCCGGGTAGGAACTGTTTGAAAATGTTAAAATTTCCTGATATTTGTCATAAATGATGAAAACAGCATTTTAAACAAGGGCAATAACCTCCTTTGCGCCTTCTAGCGGTAACAGTTTTCCAATACAAAAGTTGCATACCAAAAACCCTACTCCACCACTAATGGTCTTCATGCCTATTCTAGACATTTTTTTAAAAAGTTTTAAAAAAATTGTTTTTTGCTCTTTCTTGAAAATTTTTCATTTTTATTTTATTTTTTTCATGGATTACTGATTTCCGGAAAATTTAAATTTTTGAAAATTTTCAAGTGAAAATTATCAAAATATAAGTTCACACTTTTCAATGATGAGACTACTTTTTTAAAGATTTTTCCCATGCTGTACCTCAATTTTATTATTAGTGACAATTCTGACATTGTCAGGGCTGTTTGGAGAAAAACAAAGCTGAAATTGATAAATAATTGAAATTTTAAAAGTAATTAAAAGAAGAAAAGTTACTTCAATTAATTCAAATTACCAATCACTATATATCGTCTCTAAATTTTTGTTTCATTTTTACAGTCTGAAAAATACAATTTCTTCCACATGCAAAATTGCTCTTGATGACATTTGGGTATATTAAAGTATCCTAAGAGCAATAACTGCCTAATAACAACCTAAGTAAACAACCCAGCGTTCGTAAGGCAGCCTTTCAAGAATTCCATGTTTTCCAATTTCCTAGCCGCTTTTTGAACGTTTACACATCTGTCAACACTTATTTATTGTCTGTAACAATCCTCAAATAAGTGTTCATTCTTCTTAAAAAATCTTTGACTGACAAATCCAAATGATATCCCTCTGAATCAAACACAATTATTTTCCTCCCGTGAAATATACAACTTTTTTAAAAATAGCGGCCTCTTACATTTCACAGAGCCAGGTCTAATATTAATTCGCCGTAAGTAACAGAAAAATATATAGATGGATGGTTTGACTTATTTGAAAAAAAAGAAAGAATAATATCATCACCATTTAACGTTGATTGTCAAACTTATTTTTTCAGCTCAACACTTTTTGTATTTTATGAGAAATTCGACTAATAGAGGCTACCAGTGGGGAAAACAGATTTTAATATTAAAGTTAATTTCGTTTTAACTTGTTTTTAACTTGTTTTAAAAACAGTATTCTTACTCGTGACTACGCCACTCGTGAGAATACTGTTTTTAAACCTCACTCGATGAAATAAAATTTCATCTTTTACACAAACAAACAAATATCCTCTATTTATTGCTACCTTTTTAGGCAATAAGCATCTAACATTTCTCTAAAACCATTACTTAAACAAGACAAAATTCATGTTTTCCTTTCTAAAGAAGCAAACATTTATTTATTTATTTATTTATTTATATGTTTCTGTGGCATAATGTGCCTAAAACATTATATCATTCTTTGTGTTGTATGCAATATTGTTATACTTACATGTACTTTAGAAATTAATCATTACAGAAGGATCAGCAGGTTCCAAATGGTATGATGTGAGCTCGTTTATTCTATAAATCAAATCTGGTAAATCAAATTAATCAATTATGTAAGTACTTCAGGGAATATAATGGCTCAAAATAAATCACTTTGAAGTCAAAGTGTCTATAATTATATCATCAGGTTTTGTGTCTCAAGCAGGCGTTGCTTTATATATTGTGCCAGATACATCACTACGTAGTTAATTATTATGACAAAACGTTTGATAAAATCAGATATCTATAATTACTTTTTACGTAATAGCTTATACAAATGTCAAAGTCATTAGGATATAGCTACACATAGATTTCAATATAATGTGTTGGAGTTTAAATTGAGTCAAAATTCCCAAGAAAAACACTAAAAATCAGCTGGACATTCAGCGAATCAACGGAATGTCGGTCGTTCTACTCAGGTGCCCTCTAGTTCCTTTAATAATACACGAGGGAGGGGGGTTTCCTTTAGAATTCCTTCACCAGTAAGGCTGTTAACTCACCATTTGACCTTAACAGTGTAGATATGACATAATAGACAACAAAACGCAAAACAAAGAATTCATATTTAAGAAAATAAGTTAAGATACTGGTACAATATATATGTTTCATGTGTCAATACACATTCTTCATGTGATAAAAAGTATAAGAAGAGAATTTAATACTTGCCACCATTGACCTTTTCACGCATGTTTTCATTGACTTTATATTACCATTGATGTCTCTTACATATATTTGTTTTAAAATGAATTCTATATCTTTAATGCCTATTTTAAACTTAGTGTAATAGAGAAAATAAGTTATGACCATGTTTCATAAATAAAACATGTTTTAAATTATATAACATCTATCATAAATATTTATATTACAACGAAAGAAAATTGAATTTGTGTGGGGGGATATATTGTATACAAATATGATGCTATCATTTCTGATTGTTTTATAAATATTATTGTACGACAATAATATAAAATCTTGCTTATTTATCAAGTTATTGTACAACATATTGTAGCCCGAGGGATTGTTTGTTAATTTAGTATCGATCAGTTTTAAAGGAGAGCTAATTACAGATGTTAACAACAACATAACAATGAATGTTTAGTAACCACATTTTTTATTGGAAATTAGAATAACTATTTATAAGATACTGAAATAGAGAAAAACAGAATCTCTAAAAAAAGCCCATCACGGCAAAATCGAAAATGTTGCAGGCTCGGTTTGATGAAGCCTGCTTATTGGCGGTAGTGGTATTTGCAAGCTATCCTCCACGTCCCCTTAGCACCGGCTTAAGCTGATTCAACATTTGACATGAACTGGTAAAACGGAAGGGCATGAAACATCATGATAATACTGAACAAACAAGACACCCACAATAAAATAGAAAAAAACTCTGATATAAAGAACTTGTACATTTAGATACACATGCACCAAATTCACTTAATACACAATAACATAGCATATTTCAGTTTTTAGAATCTCAAGATGGACGTTTACATAGAGGAAATGTAGATATTATATTTTTTTGATTGTAGTTTTCAATTTAAATCAGATGCTGTTGACAGTTTTAGGACATCTGTTTTATATCATTGAAGATTGATTGTAAATAGAAACATAAGAATGGCACTAAGGATATTTTAAAAAATACCATGGCATATTTAATTGATTATCTACGTTATATAATATCTAAGTTATTTTTCATCAGAATATATCGTTATAATTAAAGTCTTTAACCCATGCTTAATAACTTAAATGGACGTCTCAGGCACCATTTTAGGGGGAAATTTCAAAATTACACTAATTGAATAGCGAATAGTGCCGACAATAATCAAACGGCACGGATGTCCCGTGCTCTGGTCACATGGGTATATAAAGTTACCGACAGAAGGCTAAAGGTAAAAAACTGCGTGTGACTTTTACCTTCCTTTAACATCAGGATCGTTGACAAGTTGTATAAATATTACATGAGACTTTTATGTTATAGCAATGTTTAAATGTTGATAACTGTATATTTAGGTATTGGAAATTTATTCTGAGACAAACCAATAGTTTTGTGTGAAGCTACAGCTAAGGTATAAATGCAGATGGGAAAAGGCAATAAACCATTGCATTTTATGGATACAGGAACGCTAAGAAGGAATCATTTACAAGGTAATAGAACTTTTAACCTTTTTTTCATTTTCCGTACAATGATACATTTTAAAGTATTTTCTTTACTGCGTGAATTTTTAAATATTCGACATTTATATGATTTAATACCTAAAATCAAATGTATTGATAAAAATACTATAACTTAAATATAGTCATCTAGCGGTGGTTGCTGTTTCAGTGAAAAAAATATTTGAAAAAATATATGGATTAACATATGCAAGCTCAAAAAAGGGAAAAAAAAATATTAAGGCAATTAAGTACCTTTATACGGCCACATGCTAACAATTGGCCACTACAGAAATATACCTCATAGAAAGGTATGAAATTAGGCATATCTAACAATTTCTACCAGTTACATGTATCACCATAAGCTAGTGTTGGGTATCACAAATAAAAGTTGATAAGTCATTGGAGAGAAAACAATATAATATACATACAATTATTACAAAATAATAAAAACATATTGGAGATTCAATATTGAATTATAAATAAAGTGACTTTTTGGGTCACTACAACTATTTGTTCTGTTTTGATGAATAAATGTAATAATAAAAACAACTTTTTATTTGGCTGAACAGTTACCTTTTTACACCCCGTTGGTAAAATAGTTCATGGCACAACTTTGAAATGTTGCCATGGTGATGGCCACTAACAATCAAACAAATTCTCTATGACTTTAATGCAAATAACACCACGACATTTTGGGATAATACAATTTTGCAGGCTCAATAATCCCTAGTGCTTTTAATTTTTAATACAATATTGTACAACAATATTAAAAAAAAAAAAATAAACTGAATGATTCTAAAGTCTTTGTAGTGAGAAAGACACAGAAGTCATATCATAAAATAAAGATAATAAATATTTTTTTGCGTACATTGTTTTTTTTATATTTTTCAGATAGTGTGATAAAAGGAAATGTGTAACCATACTTCAAATATTACAGACAGTGTAAATTGTGTAACAAGTCCGGCAGGAGCAACAATTGTATCACCGTTATTGATGTCCTTAACTGGTGTTCTAGGAAATATATTAGCCCTCTTAAGTTTGTACAAGGCACGGACAGACGTACGAACAACAAAGTTTTATAGTTTTATCAAAGGTTTAGCCTGGACAGATCTCCTTGGAATAGTTATGACAACACCTTCTGTTCTTATTGCTTATGTAAGCCAACGTAAATGGATGGGAGGAGACGCTCACTGTCGTTTCCATGGTTTTACAATGGCGGCATTTGGACTTGCGACACCGCTGATAATTTGTGCCATGGCAATTGAACGGTTTCTTGCGTTACGATATGTATTTTTCTACTCTAGTCGTTGTCGCACGAGTACAGCACGAGTTTGTATTCTTATTCTTTGGTTTGGAACGATATTGTACGGACTTTTACCTTTATTTGGCTTTGGAAAGTATGAGAAACAATATCCTGGAACATGGTGCTACCTAGACTTCCATTCTCATAACATAACATCTAAGATATATGGGTATATATATGCATGTACAAATTTGATATTGATCCTTGTGATTATATTATGCAATGCATATGCTGTTGTTGCAATATTCAGAACGAGGCTAAGGCGAGCCAGCGAACGGGTATATTCCTTAAATACCTCTCTACAAGACCACGATGGACTTATGAAAGCGAGAAACCAGCGGAAAAGGTCAAATGATGCCGAGATTCAGATGATTGTATTGTTATGTGCCTTGACAGTCGTATTCACTATTTGCTGGGCACCATTAATGGTTTGTACGCGGCACACCAAAGTGTCTTTGTATATGTCGATGTGCGCATGTCTGGATTTTAAACTTTTTTGATTTCGCAAGGGACTGTCTTCAATAGAATTTGCATTTCTTTGCGATAATTTACTCTTATAATATAAACTCATTTTATATGATTTGGTAATATCGAAAGATAAATTTCTTCATATTCTCCAGTTTTTCCATTACAAACTTGGTATTCAACTTCTCAAATTTGCACCAGCTTTGAGAAAGTGCTTTTTGTGACAGACGAAACCGTATAAAAGTCTGATTGTACTCCGACATGATTGAATTGTGTTACCACTCAGCACATTTGACAATCAGACAATTTTATTTCCAGTAATTCTGTCGTTTTCTAGACAGATTTAAATCCATTTTAAATTGCAGTCGGTGAAATTAGTGTTCTGTACATGTATTTATTTTTGGCACATTTATAATGGATCATTTCAAACATGTAGCATCAAATCATATTACACGTCTTAATTAATTCTTTCCCTTTTTGCATAAAGAAAAAATCAATGCATACCAAACTTTAAATTATCATTCAACTGTCATTTTGCTGAAATAGTAGATAAGTGAGATCAAGTTTGAATAATTTGTCAAATATAATTGTCTTTTTAGATAAGAATCATTGTTACTCAGGCAACGGGTATAGAGAACAAGTTATTAGATCTCACCGCTGTCCGACTAGCCAGCTTGAACCAGACGCTTGACCCATGGTTATATATCCTGTTAAGAAGATCAACTTTTATAAAGATTGCGAGAGGTTTCAAAAGAATTAAAATAAGATATTTAAAGGTGATAGAGGAGATTCATATGGAGCATATAGATGAAGAAGAAGGTAGAAAAGTTGAAAATGAATGTTCAATAATTAAAAGACAGTGTGTTTTGGCTTGCAGTGGTGTTATAGGACAAAATGATCAGAATTTAAGATGTAAATCTCCGTCCCTTGCCATAGGAAATGATGTAGACTTTGATAATCAACCCATAATAGACTTATCAAAAACACAACCCAACAAAGATTCTAACAGTGTTTGCCGGTTGGAGTTAGGCAAGGTTGATGCACCAAAAGAAGAACAATTGTTACCAAAGCAAATCTACTATGACGATAATCACGTGTGTAATAGTCGAAATAATCCAAATGTAGAAAACACAATAATATGTAATGATAAAGGAAGTAAACCTGCCGTTGACAACCAAAAACTTTCAGTTTCAAATCTTGACAATATAACTGTAACAGATTGGAATGACATAAAAAATCAGTCTGGAAGCTCGGAAACTAAAGAAACTACTCTATCTAAAGAACTTGTTGCAACGTTTTATTCGGATGTGACAAAGTTATCAGTCAGCTCAAAGTATACTCACGAAAGGTATTAACATACCATTTCTTGTCTATTTGTAATGTAAAGCCAGGAACACAAACACAATAATTTCGTCCAAACTTCTATTCTTTTTGTTTTATCACATATGCTTCAACTGGTATTCAATCATTCTTGTAAAGTCTATCGATTCTTTTCACAAATTTGCAGGTAACAAACTTTATATACATATATTTGCACAAGACCTGTAACGATAAATTTTTGTAAGACATTTAATTTTAATTGAACACATAAAGATTCAGAAAAACTATGTCAAAAAACATAGGAATGAGAGATATACAGCTTATATTTGTATGCATACATAAGTTCTTTTCATTGCAGATTGAGGAAAACAAAATCAAGTGAAGAATAGAAAGGAGTGATGTTTTAAAAATGGATTTGAAATAAAATTCGTCGTGTATAGATAAACTTAATGCTACAGAAAGCACAACATTTCTATGCTTCGTATCATTTTTACGGCAATTTAGTTTAATTTGAAATGGTGAAAACACTTTCAAGTGTAACTGAGCATATTTACAGTATGATCTAAAATACTTGTTCCGGCAATGAAGACATTTAATGAAAGATAGCAGTTTTACAATAAGCGTACATCATAGTTTAATCTTAATTCTATTGACTTACATGTTGAAACAAAATAATTTCTTCCATTCTTTTGACAACACTTATTCAACCGGATAGACCTTATTGTAGCTAAATAAATAAATAAAAACAAGAGCCCCAGCCCGACTTTTTTCTTATTTTTAAAGCCAAACACATCAGAGAAAGGATATTATAGTAAAGTGTACTCCTACGAAACATTTCTTTTAAAAGAAAAATTCAAATTTCTTAAAGGTCATTCAAAAGTTAAGGTCTCATTTGAATTAAATCATCATGCCAGTTTTGTCAAAAGTGCTCTTTTGTCCAAGTATGAATCAAATCTACATATATAAATTAAAAATGTCTGTTTTCTCATATGTGTTCTTTTGTCCAAGTATGGGGTGAAAGGACCCATAAATAAATAACAAAGTTATGGCAATTTAAGTAAATTTCAATAATTTGATTTTGACAGTCAAGGTCAATAATAGGTCAAGGTAATATCAGAATAATTCAACATGTCGGTTTGGAAATATGTTTTCTTTTGTCCAAGTATAAATTCAGTTGGGTCTTGAAAGTTTTGTCCAAATGATTGTTGTGTCCACCAAGTATGAAGACAATCCTTTAAGAATTAAAAAAAAAACATTATGGCCAACGTTTCTGGACTGCAACGGCAACTATTTAAATATGTCTTCGATAAAAGTCCAGCGAAAAGAAATAAATAAATCAGATATGATGGCTTGGAACTAATTAAAGTGTAATTTGATTTGATTTATACCATTTGTTTTAAATGTTTGCCACAATTTCCATTTAGATGATGAATCATGATGTAATTTTAATGGGTGTTTAATAGAAGATTTCTTTGTCATCATAATGTGTTTCTGTGAATGCTCTTGCAATTTGATTCTAACTAACGTCATGATAAACTGGTGGAACATTAATTATTTGAATATGATATTAACTCTGTTACTGTTTGTTTAATAGCTGTATTGTTGTTTGATAATTATTTTCCCCGCTGAATACGCTTTGATTGTAGGAACATGCCCACTTGCTCGTCTGTAATGTTTCCATACCGTTTTAGGAATTCTCTCTTCTATGAACATGACAGTTAATTTTACTTAACGTAGCCGTTTTGAAAAATATGCAAGGTTTTGTCCTTTTCCCCCAAGTGTATACCCATGGACCCATCTAGCGGAAACCTTTGACATGCCATAGACATCAGTCAGAATTGTCTGAATTATACCCACTTCCCTAGCAATGCTTCGCAGGTCTGTCTCGCCTTCTGTCGCACATGACCATGATCTTGCACAGTTTCGGCAGTTTCATCGTTGGTGGCCTCTTTCTTTTGACCGCCCTGGCCGCTCATCATCTCAAATGCTCTCCCTGCCCCTCTTAAATTTAGCAGCCCATTTTTGTCACAGTGCTATAAGAAGGGGACTTCTTCCCAATTCCCAAGTCTTCATAGATTTCCTTGGGGGACATCCCTTTCTTACAATGGTAATTATTGACGGCTCTGATTTCAATTTTCTCCATTTGCTCTAAATTACACACCCCTCTACTGATCAAAGTGTTTTTATGTTTTTTAAGCCTTCGATAAGATGTCGGTATCGACATTTCGTGTGTAAATGTCAGTGTAGTGGTTAGAAGTATATCGGGCCGAGAACTTTTTGATCATACCTCGTAAAATGTAAGATTTTATATAACCGGTTCAAGAAATTGTTGTAAAGTGAGCCTCTGGAGAGCTTTATAACATTTTCAAGAAGGAGTTTTATAAAATTTAAAATTATATGACAAAAGATGTAAGACTCTTTTTATCACATGTCTAAACTCTTTGAAATTAATAAAAGTACGATAACGTTATGTTACACAGGAGTATTATAAAAATATACGTAATGGTTAAAGGCACATTATGCGTAGGAAGTACAGATTTCTAAATTCTTTAGAAATGTCAACATGTGTTTAATAATGTTTTGATAATGGGTTTAGAGCATGTAAGATTATCTTTTGAAAAAAGCAGCGTTGAACATGTAGTAATGTGTCTTAAAGACAGCAAAATGCAAACAAAGTAGAATTTTGACTTCCGTACAAAATACTAATAAACTATAATTATACCAATTGCCATCATAACAAAATCAGCAAAATATAATTTATGTACAATTGTAGATGGCAAAAATAAAACAGTTTTTGAGAAATAAAAACGATAGCATTCCTGAGACATAATGGGCCTTTAAGTTACATAGAAAACAAGCGATCTCATGTGATAAAGATATATTAATAATATAATTTTATCATAAAATGTTTATTTTCTTCTTTCCAATTACTTCAAGGTCTGTGATGGCAATATTTACACTATTCATTACACTACAATACAATTTTCCTTTATTTGTAAATCAATGTTACATTTGTAACAACAAACATTACACTAATAATCTAAATACATACATATGTGGGTAGCACATTAATAAAGAGTTACTATTTCTACTACGATTTCTACAGGTCCTCTTAAACACTGCCGGATTGTATACGTAAATGACATGCTTTTAACAGAATAATATGAATCTTGTTATAGCATTAAAACGCTGACTTGAGAATATTAACACTAGTTTGTTTAGCTTGTCAATTGTATATCAACAGACTGGGAATAATTGATATGTTTTTTTTTCTTTTTAATATGTTCTTCATGTAAACTGATTACCTGATAAAACTTTAGAAATAGTTTATACACTTATGGAATAGTTTATATAAAACATGAAATTGTAGCATGTGTTAGAATTGTCAGAGTTTAAATTAAGGAGTGTGAATACAGACGTATACAGTTCATTGAAAACAAATTCATAAATGACGTTGTATGATTTGTATTAGCAAGCAATATATTCACAAACTACTGAACTAGGCGTTCACATAGTTTGTTTCTAATATTTGAAGTAGTAAAACGTTTAAAATCTGTAACAAAATTATAATTCCAAAATTAACATACGTTAAACATTTTACTGTGATGAATTAATGAAAACATTATAGATATATAACATAATTGTAATAACCTTCAGTTTTACGCACGGCAGTTATTTTCTAAGTAAGAATAATAATACCAAAATTATTATTATAACATCAAACTGCAAATTATCAATGATATAATTGTTTATTGCTGTTCAAAGTCTGTGCTAGATCTTAAATCTTAATGTGTAGAATAGATCAAAGTTTTAACACAACTCAATACGTTCCTATTTTTTATTCATACACATTAAAGTTTGTTTGTATTTATACGTACCTGTACGAGATATTCAGTTCTTTTCTTTTATCAAACATTTAAATGTATATGCCGGTAGTTTCAAAACTACGTATACTTTACAGATATCACGTTCTATATACATTTGATATAATAATATCTGCAATAGTTTAAAGAGTACATACCGATTAAATGATTTTATTGCCAATGTGTTGAACAAGAGACATTAAAGAACAGAAAGATGTTGTACTTTTAGAACACACTCAAATCGAATATACAGTTTTCAGTTTCATTGCTGACCCCTTATCATGATTATTGTACTTCACAACAGCAGGTGTCAAGTACTATGTGGCAGCTGTAAAAGGTTACCCCGTTGAAAAATGGTACAGTTTTACATTACCTCTCATGAAAAGACTCAATCAACCAAGTCTATTTAGTTTCTTCAATTGCTTCCGAAGGATCACCCCTTTTTCCAGAGTTTTTTCATATGGATGATATTCTGACTTTTTAACGTTAAATTATTTTTACATTAGAAGTATAAAAATGCATAAAAAAAGATAAAAATAAATGATGGAAATGCACTTATTACCTTTTGTTCCTTAAAAAGTGCGTATTCAGACAATGGTATATGTGATTCAACTACTATCTGTCAATAGCACCGTTTGAAAATATTCAGCCAGCTGTTCAATTAAAGGAAATGATATAAATGTTAATTACAAATGTCAAAAACACATAAGAAAAAAAAACATTTAAATTAAAAACGATGTTTATACTAGTTCTCAATATGAAATAAACAAACAGGATAAGCTCTCATGGTAAAAGTACAAAAAGAAAACCTCCTTGCAACTGACTTAAAACTACCAAGATTATTCGGTAGTTACAGAAGCTTAAAAGGTTCTCTAATTGCGAAATAAGTATTGAAATATTTGTACAACAACATACAATTTACCGTTTTAACGTGATTAATCTTATCAGTACATATTTTTTTTCTCATTTTATACTACAACTTTATGCGTTGCTCATCTTTAAGTACAATATTTAAATCACAGCAATTTATTGAAATCTATAACATTCTTACTGAATATGTCTTATTTGAATAAAAAAATGAATAAACTATGTATGGGAAGGTGTGTTCCCTATTACAGGTCAAGTAAAAGTTGTCCTTCCTTAAAAAATGCAAGATTTTAATGACTTTATATTTATATTGTGACCACCTATAGTGTGTAGAGTTTTTAACAGAACATATATACTTTGTGTGAAGTCAAAACATGTTTATTTAAAATTAAAAATAGACTGTGTAGCATTTATAAACATTTTCTAATATGAAAATTGAGCATAATATATCTTTAAACTTTCATGCAATTCATGCTTTTAAAAATATTTAATGTTATAATTAAACGTTGAAAGGCTATCTATCAATCAATAGTCTATGAGTCCATGAAATTTGAGCCGAAAGTGGGTCACTGTAAGGTGGTCAATGAGAACCTAAATGTGCAGTAACCTGTGACAATATGAAAGGGTAGCCCTGAAGAGGGCTGTTGGTGCCAGCAAAAGGCCTGTCATTCAAGCCGTCTAACGCACCTTAGCACACCATCCTCTTCGACCCAAGCGCCTACTTTGTAGGGCCACTCCCCTCGGCTTTAGTCAGGACATCGGCAGCTGGTCCGCAGCACAAGTTCCGATTTTTCCCGTCCCCAGTCTTCAAATCTTCTGACGATGTCCTGTGTCTTCTCAACGACGTACACGTACCGAGGAGAAGAGAGAAGACGTTGAAAGGCCTCCATTTAGTGCGAATATAATGTGTTAGTGGACTGATTTTAATTCAATTTGATAAGATGTTTTAAAGATCATGTAACTCGATTTTTATCGTATATCATTAATATAATGCTCAAAAATATTAATCAAAATTGTAAG